AATCCTTTTCCGTTGAAGGAGTCCCTCTTCGGCTTCTCGTAAACCGGAAATTTATTGGCGTAACTGGAAGTGCCATCTGCGTTGTCGAGATTGTTGCCAGCGGTTTCCTTTATTTTGAACGCTTTCTTGTACCCCTCAAAGTCGTTGTAATTCTGTCCGTAAGTCCCACCATTGCCATAACCGTAGGGTCCAGCAACTGGCCCAGGACCCAGGATTGGTCCAGCCAGTCCTGAGGTTCCAGTGATCACTGATGGAATTTTTTCATCACCGTGATGATAGTGATGGTGTACGTGCTGCTGAACACCTGCACTCGGGTGGATCAATTGTTTCTTCTCGAGGAAGTCGTGTTTGTTCTCGGGGATGAAGTCATACTCTCCGTCGAGTCCTGTGTCCTCGTAGATCGGTTTGTTGCTGTGGAAGGACGGGGGCTTTTTGTAAGCGGGATAGGGTCCTGGGAAGCTGGAGAGTGGACCTGAGAAGGACGGCGGTGGTCCAGAGAATGTGTGACCTGGGGGGCCTGAGTGGAAACCTGGGGGGACAGGCACTGGCTTTGGGGGACCGTAGCCCACGGGTTTTCTAACTGGAATTGCGGGGAGGGGACGTCCCACTGGTTTTATAGTGACCGGCTGCGCGTAGATGATCTCCTGGGGGTAGATGTCACGGTGAGGAGAGTAGTACGGACGTCTGCCTTCCAGGTTTTCGCACTGGAATCGGATTCGATGGAATCGTGAGGACAGAGGCTAATTAGCAAATAATTATTCGGTAATTGGAGATACTCACGTTCATCAGGCCGAGGGAGCAGAGCTTGTCCTGAATGTAGGAACGGGCTATCGTGTCATTGCCTGTCTGGAGAATATTCTTTACCTCTGAGTCTGCGTACAGGTCGTCGTATCCTGGGAGATTTCGTCCCTGTCGATGGGAAACCAGAATATCATCGACTACTTGGGCAACCTGGATTAAATTCATCGGTTATTTTGAATCTTCTGAGGTTCGTCCCTTCGTAATTTATTATTTTTTCAATGAATTACCGATTGCTGGGATTCGTGAATCGCATGGGCGACTCCACTGGCTCCGGATTGAATATTTGAATTCCCTGTAAAAGTGGTTGGGTGAAAGGAAACATCATCTTCACTAGCTGCAGCCGTTGGTTCCTGCCAGGACCACTGAGTTTTTGGCTCGCTCGATGATCCTGATGAGGTCTTCGAGCCGTAAGAGACTTGGGTCGCTAGACCCTGCGTCAAGAGACCTATCAAGAATATAACCCACATTTTCTCTCTGCAACAGAATAATTTGAAAATATAATTAGATAGATCGAAAGTCAATCCTGCGGATGCATGACTTTCCCATCGCAACCGCTTTCTTTTGATATTTTCGGCTCTGATCTCATCTCTCATTTCCGTTGACAGCGATTCCTCCTCGGAGGGGAAAGCCATTCAGACTATTAAAACAATATTTCATATTTAACTATCACTCAACATTCAGATTCGCTTTTTACGACGAACTTTTATGGAAATTTCCTCTCAGTCCTACAGAATCTTTCTGTGAAAGTGCATCTCACCTTTCTCCACGCAATTCCAAGGATTTTACGTTCATATTTATCGATATCTCGAATTAACATCGAAAAATATGTT